GGAAAATTGCCAAACATTTTAAAAATATAAAAAGGAAGAAATTCCTTAAAGTTATCGAGATTGCTAAGTTTAAACAAACGGGCATGGCGCATTGAAAAGTAGCACCATTGTCTTACAGTGGGATGAGGTTTCGTCTTCGTTAGTGGTATAACCAATTCCTGTACGATTCGTTCATTCGTTTCAGTGGTAAATTGGTACTGGTACATGCTAAGGAGTCGAACTTGCCATCAGCTTGCTTCCAGGCAATTCTTGCCCGTTCTGGGCAGTCGTTAACACTTCGGCTTTTTTCTGGAACGCCTTCGTCTCTCATAAAAAGCGAATACGAAGGGGATTTGAACGAAATTTAAAATTGCCGTACAAAATTTTTCTGTTTTCCAGTTGAATTGAGGTGCAGCAATGAATACGGAACAGTTGCAATTTCGACTTTTTGACCGTGAAAAGCATCCTCGAGTGTTGCAATTCCAAAGGGATGTGCTAGACTCGAAAAGCTTTTTGGATCGTCTTCGCCACAGCAAAACACTAAAGGTTGGTTTTTTTTAAAATTATTTTTTGTACGAAAAATTGGAGCTCATTGCAGTCCAAGAGTACCTTATTCGCCAGAAATTAAGGCAAAATATGAAGAAATTATGCCGGGGAGGAATTTTGATCGTTGATCTTTCACCTTTCCAGTCTATTTTGAGATTGAAGAAAAGGGGTCTGGGTTGGGAAGACTCATTGGCTACATGGCGTAGATCCCTTGGCAGTTGATTGGCTAGGCTGTGTACGCATTTGAGGGTATTTTTACGAATTAGCTTGCGAAAATGACGAATTTTTTCCTAAATTGATAATCATGGTTATTTCTCGTGGTTATCGTGGTTATTTCTAGAAAAAAACATGTCCGCTTCAAAACTCCCTCCCTTTTCGCAGTTCTGCACGCCGTGCTGAGTACTTTCTTCGAGAGTTTTCTCGTTTTTAGATTAATTTTCATCCATTTTCTCGTAACTTTTACGCATAAACCTATAAATTGCATTTTTTCTTTTTTTGATATATTTGGTGAATTCGAGAAATTTTTAATATTTGAGCTATGATAAATTTTTTAATTTGCAGGGTCACGAAGGATGTGTGAATTGCTTGCAGTGGAACACGTCCGGAACGTAAGTTGCTTCATTCATTTGAGAAATTGAGAAATTTTGAGGAGCCATTAGAAAAATTGATCTTACCTACTTGCCTCAAGCGATCTTCGAGAGATAAGGAGAGGGCCCTCGGGAACTTTATCGCTTGGGAATTGCTTATGGCATGCACTGAAAATACTTTTCGTTCCTTCTCAGGGCCTTTCTCTCTATTTCTCGTAGAGAATGAATATGGAAGGACAATTGACTTCCAAAAATTTTGAAAATTTTTGGGAGGAAAATGGATAACTCCGGAATCAGGGAAGCTGAGAGGCTAAGCTTTCAGAAAATGTTCCCAACTCATCTACAAATTAAATTTATCA